GGCTATCGGGCAGCTCGGTTTCACGCCCAAGATGCTGTCTGCCAACGTCAAGGCGTTTGTGGCCAGCATCAAGTCTGATCTCGCGGAGCTCGAGACGCACAAGGAGGTTCACGAGGTTGTGCTGAGCTCTTCCCAGGCTCCGGGCTTCAGCTTGAACGGAAACTTTGACTCTACAGATGAGGAGGTCACGCCGGCTCACCTCTCCAACGTCATGTGAAGATGTATAAAATCCAGATGGAAAAAAGGGCAAAAAGAAAAGGGAAGGGTGTTTAGATGAACTGTATCATAGGTGTTTGTATTACACGTGTATCAAAGTGGCATAGCGCTCTAGAACATGTTTGGAGACTTTAATTTGGGTATCATATGCATCGCTACTCTGTGACTGCTGGCCTTTTTGTGCTGTTCGTCGTCTGCTGCTCCGATCGGCTCAGCTGCTCTTGAGGGCCCTGATCGCCTCAGCCTGGGCGTCAAGCAATCCGTACAAGCCCAAGTACTTGACTGTCCTCGCCTGACCCTTCTTGCCCGCCTTGCGTGCTTCCTTCATCGCCGTGCCGAGATCCAGGAGAATTGTGTTTCGACACCTCACCATTCGAGCCTCAGCCTTGACCACAAACGGAGTATCCCTTCCAATAGCGTCCGCCAGAGCTTCGACGATGCAAAAGTCTTGCGTAAAGCCAGCCAGCTTCGCAGGGCTGCTACCCACCAGCCCGCCCACATCATCATCATCCTCTTCCTCGTCAGACTCCTCGCTATCATCCGCGTCCCAGTCATCATCTTCTTCCTCTCCCTCGCCGCCGTCACCCGTCTTTGCCTTCCCAGGCAGACTCGCAAGCGAAAGCCGCTCCTCGAGCGAAGACACTCTCTCATCCAGCTCAAGCATCTTCCTCCCGGTCTCAATACCCCTCCTTACCTCTCTCAACTCCCCGCTCAACCCCTGAACCTCCTCCCCGCGCGTCCTCACTTTCCCCTTGATCTCCTCCACGGCCCTCCGGAACCCGAGCATGGCAACACGCACATTCTCAACCCTCTCTTCGCCGCCGCGCAGCTCGTTGCCCAAAGACAAGAAGGCGGTGTAGTTCCCATTGACGAGCTCCAGCAGCTCGGCGCTGATGGCGGCGCTGCGGTCGCGGAGCTCTGCTTTGAGGTCGTCGAGGGTCTGGTGGCGGTGCGGGAGGGCGGAGAGGTAGTTTGCCGGGTGGAAGCCGGGAGCGAGGAAGTCGGATCGCGGGAGGGCGGCGGGGAAAGGGAGCGGGGCGTCGTCGTCTTCGTAGCCGGAGCCGGAGGCGACGGAGGAGGAGGATGAGGAGGGGAGGTGGAAGGCTGCTGTTTGCCGCGTTGGCGATTGGATGCCGAGATTGGCCATTGCTTCTGTGTGTGGTCCGCCGGTTTGCCCGTTGCTTTGGGGTTAGGTTGGTTGGTTTGTGCTTGCAGCCTTTCAGATGGCGACGGCGGCGGCTCGGTGGTTGAGGTTCGGCGCAGAAATGTCGTAGCTCGGAGCAAAAGCGACGTCAAATTTAGGCAAGGTAGCTATCTCAAAGCTAGAGGACCGGGATCGGGAATTGTTGAGGAGCTTTGCTGTCGAGAGGTGGGTGGTTCGAATTGCAGCTGTTGGTCGATTTTGGGCGGGATGGAGTTGGATAGGTACGGATAGCTTAACGCAGCTTTCTCAGAGGTCCACAGCTTGGGCTTCGCGGGGGTCACTGTGGGAATTGGAAGTGGTTGAACAGTGCGTGGGCCACACGTAGTGAAGTAACTGAGGTAAGGTACCTAGCCCCCGCCAGGATTCCCACAGTTCTCACTGCATGTGGACACGGTTGCGCAACCTTCAAACAACCCAAGTGGTCACTTTTAAGTCTTTGACCAGTCGTGAATGAGGATTTCGAGTGAGCGAGAGATAGTCACAACGGAGAGTTGGTTCGGAGATGGAGTCGGTGCTGGGATTGGATAAATCTAAACCCTGCGGTCTCTCTGGCAGTGACGATGCGGCGATCAATCTGCTCGGCTCTTACGACGATGACCGCACATCATCATCTCTGATGCGGTCATTGGCGAGAGACAGTAAAGTCATTATTCAAGACGCGCTCACTCAGTCACTCCTCGAAGTCTGCTTTGTATAGAGCATAACAGGTAGTCACCTCAGGTAAGCGGCTAGGATAAACGACGTTCCCGTTGTGAAGAGCTCAACTTGACTTGGAAAAAAACAGACGGAGGCCGAAGTGCCCGCTGCGCTTGGCGTTGCCTCGTAAGAAAGGGATCCCTTGTGAAGCCAAAGCGTTCTGGGAGTCCACCCTTGGGCCAGCCTGTCAGGCAAAGACAAGTTCGTGTAATTAGTGCGAGCCGATTATTGCCGCCGTCAAACCTCGTGAGATGCGAGGTACCGCGGCAGCCATGGACGGACGGATCCAGTAAGGGTAGCATTGTAGTACCAACCTACGGATACCTGGCTCTGAAGCACTCCACGATGTACGTAAATGTTGCTCTTTTTTCTCGCGTGGCTCGCACCCTCCCATCACCCACTTCCGGGGCCCTCCACTTGGGATCAGCCTATGTGGGATGAAGGGCCGATCTGATTACGCATAGTCACGAAGTGAGAAGTGTTGGGTCACGGGTGGTTGGCTCGTCAATAGTATCCATACAGCAATGGAGACTGGGAGACTGGAGACAGGGCGTAGACGATCCCGAAAGCAGATGTTTCAAGCGATTCCCCTAAGCCTTGGAAGTAGACTGGAAAAAAAATGAGCGTCTCATGTGAGCCTGCAGAAAGGAAGCGGCGGTTGGGGGTTCGGGGGGTGAGAGATCAAATGGCCCAATGACGGGCGAGTGACACGAGGTGTGAGTGGGATGAAGGATGCAGGCAGGTAATACGGATTGGAGCTGGAGGCGATGGTGGGTGGTGACATCTTATCAAGTACCTCTTGATCTCCCTGATGAACTGCTCCAAGGCCATTGGACGACTGGCGGTGACACCTGAAGCAGGTTCCATTGAGGCATAAATCCCCGATTATCAGGTACCTTTTTTTTCGGCTCAAGTTACTGGATGGATACAGATCTTACGGAGTACTGTGCCATTGATTGTGTGTATTTTATGCGACTGACTTGTGCAAGTTCAATCAAGACCTCGGCGATCCTGACTCGTTGGTCTTCGCTTTTGCACTCCGTAGACACTGCCGAAAAGCCTCATCAAACTTTGTGTCAAATTGATTTCCCCCGCTGGTTTTTGTCTTTACGGTTGTTTACTCATGCCTTACGGAGTACTGCAAGGTAGATTTAGAGTAGAATCACGGACGTCTCGGCTTACGAGGGAGTCATCGGACAAAGGGCCGCTCTCATTTGTTGATGGAGTGACAGGCCTGTCCTACACTGTTGTATTGGATGCAACTTTATCCCACGGTCATCACTGGTCACATACATCATGTACTCGCCCGGTGGGCAAGGGCAGCGACATCGGCAGACCCTGAGATCAATTCCCTCGGGATGTGGCTGCGCTTGGCACCCACGCAGAGTAATAGACACAGAGTCAAGTGGTAGTTAACGGAAGAGTGAGAGGCTGGCATGGATGGGTGTTACGACATGGAAACTCAGCCATCAAGGGGATCAAAGCCCATCGATGGTGGATCGCGCAGTCAACTAGGGCGGTGATCCGTGGGAGAAGCCGGGCTGTGTAGCCCTGAAAGTCCCTACATAGTAACATTCATAGTGTGTTGTGGCCAGCCAAGCCCAAGAAACAAGGTCCGAGATCGCAGGGTCGGAATGGGGATGAAAGCCGGAAAGCAACAGGAGCCATCGAACGATTCCCCCAGTGTGGGCTGGAGTGTGTGTTTGTGCGAGACACTGAGAGTGAGTAAAAACTATGAGTGAGAGTAGTGCATTTACTTTGCGGATGTCGGGGGCCATTTCCGAGTGAGTGAGAGTGTGAGAATACTGTGACTGAGGTCTGCGTGAGACTGTGGTGAGTGAGTGAGTGAAATGGATGAAATGAGTGGGTAATGACCGGGCGAGTGAGAAGGCGACGTACCTCTGGCAGGCAGTGCCCGGGTAGGAAACAGCGAGAGACAGAGGGAGAAAAAAAAAGAGAAAAAAAGGCTAGCGCAGGCCCTGGTGGGGGCCTTGCGAGCAAGATAATCTTATCAATCAGATCAAAAATTCCTTTTTGAATGTCGCCCTCCCCCCCTTCCCCCTTCGCCTTGGGCCCTTTCCCCCCTCCACTGTCCAGTTCCGCTCTGTCCCTCCAATCCCCTCCTTCCTCCCCACCATCCTCCGAAGTGTCGGAAGAAAGAGGAACAAGCCCGCAATCCAAACATTTCTTCACCTCATCAACATTGACTCTCCCACTTACACATACCGACTTGACGATTCTATTTCCTGGCTTCACTTACACAGGCAAGTACCTATAGCAACAAAGTCAGCTATCCGAACCTCGCTGCCGACATCATCTTTCGAAACAGGTTCTGTTCTGTCACCCACTCGGCAACACGCGCGCACCACCACATTCGTCTGCATAACACTACTCTGTACAGCGCAGACAGACAGACAGACAGACCTATCAGCTGTGCATTTCGCTGTAGGGGTATCTGCTCGATTCTGCTCGGCATCAGCCCAGATCGCCAAACAGTAGCATCATATCAACTTATACAGCTCCGATTGCTCTCCGAACAGGTCAATCAGTCAAACAGGAAAGCAAGCATCACAACTAAAAGACGAACAAGAAGAAGGACACAAGAACAGGGGAAAAAAAGAAGACCCAACACCATTCAGCACGTCTCGGTCTTACAACCATCAATTCGTCCCATTTTCTTATCAGATCTCAAGAGCCGAGAGAGCGCCGAACCGCACCCTCGGATTTACCAGCTGGCAAAAACATTAGCAACCCACACCCCGCCAACTGGCTACCAGCTGTTAGCGGCGATATCCCACCACCTGACAGCGAATGAGCGGCCTTAGCGGACCCCGCCTGCGGAACACTGCTGCTCGTTAGGTCGTCCCTCTTCCGATCCACCAAGATGGCCGCCTCAGGTGTTTCCACCACTGTTCCCTCCTCATCTACCACCACCACCACCACCACCACCAACAACTCCTCCTCCTCCCACAACCAGACGTCGCAGCAGCAACACTCGTCGTCGACCTTTTCTCCCGTCACCTCACCTCCCGCAACCGACGCCCGAAGCGTCTACTCGGCCGCATCTCGCTCCAACTCGGTTGTCTCGACCCCCGTTTCCGCCGCTTCGCCTGCCGCGAGCACACCCGGCGGTCCTTCCACACCAAATCCGAGCGGACCGACAAATGCCTCCCACGCCCCGCACCAACTACCTGCCATCAGACCGAACGCTGCACAGCAACCCATCTCAGCCAGGCCGCCTCAGGTCGTGAACAAAATGTCCATGGCCTCCGTAATCAGTCCCCCGCCCGTCACAGAGGCGCCCAAGATGTCTATGACCACCAAGGAATGGGTCATACCTCCCAGGCCCAAGCCCGGCCGCAAGCCTGCCACCGATACGCCACCCACCAAGCGCAAGGCCCAGAACCGTGCCGCTCAGAGGGCGTTCCGCGAGCGTAGGGCCGCCAGAGTTGGCGAGCTGGAGGAACAACTCGATGAGATCCGTGAAGGTCACGAAAAGGTCGAAAAAGACCTCAAGGACAAGGTCCACGGCCTCGAGATGGAGCTACAGTCCTTCAAGTCCCGCTGCCTCGTTCTCGAAAATATGCTGGATCGCGAGAGAAAGGATCGTGTCAAGGCCGAGTCCGAACTTGAAAGCCAGAAGAGACGTTGGAACGAGCAGCAGGCCGCCGCCCCGAGACGCCTGCCGTCTCCCCAGCGCCGAGGTTCCCAAATCGCTCACCACGAGCACCCCCCCACCCCATCGGCTGGCCACGCAAACCAGCCCTTTTCCATCTCACAGATCGTCTCTCCCCAAGACTCAACTCACATGGAAGACTCTCCTGCCCCGTTTGGATGCGGGTCATGCGGCCCTGAAGGATGCTCCTGTGCCAACGAAATTCTTGCCGACACCGTCACGGGATGTGGCGGATGCACTCTCGGAGGTAGATGCCAGTGCCTTGAGGAGACTATCAAAAGCGCCATCATCTCGGACCTAAAGAGAGCTCCCTCGCCCTCGGCGCCGACATCCTCCGAGAAGCGTGCCCGCGTCGAGCCCACTCCGCCTGAGGAGGAGACGGAGATTGACTTCACCGCCATGTTCTCCAAGAAGGCACCTGTGCAACAGGTGCAACAGCACCAGCACCAGCAAGCGAACCTTGCCATCGTGCAGCCCCAACCCCAGCTGCCTCCCGTGGCCTTCAAGGACTCATGTGGGTTTTGTAAGGACGGAAGCTACTGCCTCTGCGCCGACACCTCAATTCTCGGCCCACCCGCCACCACCCCTTACGGACCTCCTCCCGCCTATTCCCAGCAGGTTCAGACTCCCCCTCCCTCAGAGAACGATGCCGTCCCTCCCCCCATGCCAATGGAGATCGACGCCGACGGCGCCGTCAAGCTCCGTCCCCGTCCCCAGACCACCCAGCCCGTCGCTCCCGTCTCTCGCGGCTGCGGCCCCAAGGGCCCCGGATCCTGCGCCCAGTGTCTCGCCGACCCCAAGTCGGGTCTCTTCTGCCGCGCCTTGTCCGCCAACTTTGAGCGAAGTGGAGGAAGCGGCTCCGGAGGTGGCTGCTGTGGAGGTGCTGGTGCTGGAGGCGGATGCTGCAAGTCCGAGTCCGCGCCGGCGCCGCCACCCCGTCTCCCCTCTAAGGGACGCCTCGGCCTCAGCCTGAGCTGTGCCGAAGCCTACCAGACCCTTTCCAGCCACCGAAACTTTGAAAAGGCTGCCGACGACATTGGCTCCTGGCTTCCCAAGCTTCGCGCCGCGCCCAAGCCGGGCCAGACGCTGCCGTCGCCTTCTCGTCTACCCATTGAGGTCGAGGCGGCGAGTATCATGAGCGTGCTCAAGGACTTCGACATTCGCTTTGGCAGAGGCCAGTAAATTCTTTCCAAAGTTTCTCTTGCCTCGCTAGAGGTAGGCATGCATATGTTCATGAATCTGGGTCGGTTATCTAAAAGCTCTGTATGGTTTCACACACATTACTTGTGAGACATGGTCGATGTGGACATGAGCACTCGAAAAATTGGGCGGCGTTTGGGGTCCTTCGAGACACTATTTGATTTTGTAACACCCAAACTTCCAGAAAGTGAGGGCTATCCATGCAAGAGGAAGCTATTTTGAAGCTTGCTCGTCAGGGGGAACAAGGGAGGAGGTCATCTCCTTTCGGTGCATTGACCTAGGCCAACGGAGCCGGGCTGTCTTACCGTAGTACGCACTCTGATTGAGGCCTCGAACGGGGCTCAATGCGAATACATTATTGTTTCAATCATCCTAACCTGCCCTATGATTTCCGTGGCGTAAGCGAATATCTTAGTTTTTGAAGAGAACGTCATACCTCAGAACGATGCCAAATGCTGTTTGTCGATATTGGACATCAAAGACCTGTCACAATCACCACAGAGTTGGACACCTTCACAGAACGAGAATACTGCACGGGGTATAAATGTGAATAAATGTCATCTAAATTGGCCCAAGCCTGTGCTTCATACCCAAGTCGTAATCGTATGTAGAAAAGTGGTATATCCTCCATAAAAGGCCGAGTGCCTGCTACCATAATGTCCCTCCCTTTCTACTGTAGTCATCTAAAAGGGGGGGATTACATTGAAAAGATCCCGCAGCTTCCCAATATGATCAACTGGATATGCCCGCGTCGTACTCGTGAAAAGGAAAATGTTCAAAATAAATATGGAAAAGAGCGCCCCCGGCGCCCGAAATTTGGAAAAAAAAATATTATCGCCGGGTGCAAATCACACTCTCAACGCTTCAGCTCATGGCATTAAACTCATTCTGTCGGAGGAAAGACGTTGCGAGCTCATCGCCGCCTTGTTCTGCTGCCTGGAAGAAGTGGACTGCCACGCACATCAACGCGGGATCACTGCGAACATCCCCGTCTTTGGAGCCCGCATCTTGTCCGGGATGTTGGGAGCCAGCAGAGCCACCGAGCCCTGATGCGCCTGCCGATGTGCGACTTCTGTCTCCAGGGTAGAGTCTGGTACCTGGGCCTGTGCGTCCAGAAGGACCAGCATACTTGTCCATGACGGCCTGCTTGAAGACCTCGCGTGGCTTCGAGAGGGGCAAGGTGGTCCGCTCCACGAGCTCAGGGTTCGACAAGTAGAAAATTGCGAGCTCTCGCTGGGCCGTGGGCAGACCCTCTTTGGCGGTGATGGTCCACATCTTTCCTGCTTGTGCCAAGCTATAGGCTGTCGTGACAGGAGGGGGTGACTCTGTTTCCAGTCGCTCGGCGTCTGGAGCAGGCGCATCATTGGTCGTCTTGCGTGTGCTAGTATACACCCCTTGGACCTCGTCCGCCACCTCAATCATTGTTCGGCAGACCTCTTGCTTCAGATTCAAGGCGGCAAGACCAGTGTCCCAAAACGCCGTGCCCTTCTCTGTGTTGTCAAGGATTGTGGGGTTCACAAATGCCGCAATGAACTGAAGATCGCGGAAAAGTGTCTTTGGCCGGATAGACGCATCCCGGAACAATGTTCGCAAGACGTTGGTGACGGCATCGGTTGTTGTCGGGTTGCTTGTAGCGCCAGAGCGAACATCATTGTTACCCTGACGCATTGGACGGGGTCCAACGACCGGTGGCGAAGTTGCGGGTGCTTGCAAAAGGGTATGCGAGCGTCTTCCTCTGACGTTGTCGATAGCCTCCTCCAACGGATTGGCGCGGCTAGAGCCTGTGGGGTCATCAATGGCGCCGGGCAAAAATTCTTGTCGATTCCAGCCCATTCTTGACCTTTTACCACTCGCCAAAGATGCTACGATGAGTTGCTGCAGCTCGTATAGGGCGTTTAACTTGGCATGAGGGTTGGGATGAACACTGAACATGCGAAGCAAGCGCTGGAAAGCCTTCTTGAAAGGAAATTCGGGAGTTGACTCCTTAGAGGTGGCCTTGCTTGGCGCAGGCACGGTGTCGCTTGTGGAAGGACTGTCGTTTCCCGGAGCACTGGCAGTTTCCGTGGTCTCGGAGTTTTTGTCTGTTTCGCCGGCACCTCGCAGATTCCCAAAGCTCTTCTTCTTCTCAATGACACGAGGTCTCAGTGACAGTTTGCCAGACTTGGCAGACCTCCGCGCGCGTCGGTCTAGGGAATCACGCCTGTCGATGCATTCCTGGCCCAACGAGGAGAACCAGTCATCTGTCTCGGAGCCGCGGGAAAAGACCAATGTGCCCAAGTCGGACAGAAGAAGACTGACTAAAGTCTGACGGAGCTCGTTGAGGAAACGAGACTTCTCTTCCGACAATCGCTGTTGATGAATCGTCTCGTTGGACGATGCTGATGTGCCAGGTCTGCCGGTAGAATGACTCGCATGCGAGCCTAGATGGGAATGAGGTGATTGGAACACACTGGACAGATTTGTCATGCTTGTCGTGGGAGACTGGGCGCGGGACGTTGTCGAGCTCGGGGATATCGCCGACTGGAAGGGCGACCAAAACGTAGAACTGGAGTCGATGGTGTGGACTGGCGACGAGACGCCAAAATAGTCCTGTCCATCAATGATGTCGGACAAGACTGTGCTTGCCCTTGAAAAACGGTAGCTGCCAGAGTCAAATGACTGCTGGCTAGAATTGTGAGCTGACATTGCCCGCAGGTCCCGAACAGAGCTTGGACGACCGGTAGACATGAACCTTCGATCTGGGTCGCTCATGACGCTGGCCGTATCGTCGAATGCGTGGTCTCTGTCTCGGGGGCCTCTGCTGCCTGTCTCCAGATTGCGTCTGTCTCGTTGGTAAAGCTCACTCGACCACAGAACAGGGCTGTCCATGATGGATTCGCCAACCAATTTCGAAATGCAGGTATCCACTTCACAGCCGAATCTGTGAATTCGCTCCTCCCCACAGCAGAAGTTCTCAACGCCAGCTTGTTGAAGCCATCGGGAGGTCTTGTCTGCCTGATCGTCACTCAACTTGTTAGGCCCGCCCTGCTCTTCTGATGCTGCAAGAAGATCCATGATCTGAGTCTCTGTGCGATACAGATAGCTTGACGCCGGTCCCCGTGCGAGGTGGGCGCGGTTGCGTTGGTAAGAATTGTAGCGTCTCTGCATACCCATTGTTTTGAGGGCAGCGCAGATGTTTCGACTCTGCTCATACGGTGCAGAGTTCCGTACGTCTGTCACATACCACATCTTGTCGCGAAGAGCCCTGAGTCGCTTCATCATGGCGTCGATGAGCCCCTCGTGTCGTTCTTGGCTTTGCTTGAGCCAGACGAGCCAGGCGTCGTATTCTTCAATGGCCGAAGCACAGCGGCGGATTGAATCGCGAGGCCCTCGGGAGAAAATGTTCAGAAGTATGGCAAACCCGTTTCGTCTCAGCGACCCTGAGCTGAGTGCATTTAGTTGCTGTAGTGTCTTCCAGTAGAGGTGGGCCGATACGAAGTCAGCTTGCGCTCGCGACTGAGCCGAGGCAGCTGTAAGCATAGCAATGAGAACTGAGGACGGCTCCGGATCTGCATCCCCTGTCTTCTCTGCCGTCGTTGGCGGTGAATCTTCCTTGGTTTGCGAGTCATCAGCCGTGGCACTCGCTTGTACCTCAGCGTCTCGTCTGCGGTAGGGGTTTCTGCTTGGAGATGACTTTTCAGCGGTGATGATCTTATTCTTGGATCGGTACTTTTTGATGCCAGTCGCCCGGTTGCTGAACTGAGCCCTCGTTGCCTCTGGCTCAATGCTGGCTGGGATCTCGAAATCCTCGACAAGCCTTAGGATCGAATCTCGCAATTGGTGGTAGTCTTTATCGAGCTCAGGCTTCTCATCAATCTCGTCATCGTCAGTCTCGCTGGTGGAAGAGTGGTCCTCGTCTTCGACATCTTCGTCTGGGTCGTAAGTCATCTGGCTTGACAGGCTATTGCCATCTGCAGAGATAAACAGCACGGCCCATCGTTCGGCACATGGGTGACATGAGCCTTGGACAACATCCATGCCGACCTGGGTGCCCATTTCGCGGAGAGCAAAACGAAGACGATACCCGTCGTCCTCATAGTTACTAAGACGTCGCTGAGCCAGTGGATCCAATACGGGGGGCGAGTACCGCTGAGGCGAGCCAGTCCTTTGATCATCCAAATTTGTTTCTCTGGAAGTTGTGGCGTCACTGAGAACAGACGAGGCACTGGTGCTGAGGATCGATGCCGTGTCAAAATTGCTCCGCGCGGCGCCCATCGAGATGGGCTGTGAGATTGCCGAGAACCCAGAGATGGAAGGTGCTCCGGATCTAAGCCCGCTGGACTGAGCTGACATAGGCCGTCGCTCCGGGAACAAGGCGTTGACGAGGGTGACTAGATCTGCCGGACTCACCACGAGATAAGGATGAACCTCGACTGTTTCTCGAAGTGATGTGATTGAGCGGGCCGGAAGGAGCTTCGCTGGAGGTCTCTGGGAACGGTTTCGTTTGAAACGATTCAGGATGCTCTCCACGTGTCCTTGAATCTTGGGCGGGGTTGAGACCGTTCCCTTCTTGTTCCAGGTCACCTCGACTACAAGCTGCTGTGCTCGCATGGCGACCTGCTTGAGGATCTTCTGCCGGCCATACTCGGTGATGTGGTAATCGCCCATGAGTCCGTGGCTTTCCGGGTGGATGACAACACCAAGGAGGAAAACAGAGAAGAGCCACTTGTAAACAAACCAATTTCGGGTACCATCGACGAGCTTAGAGTTAAGCTTCTTCAAGATGGCATTGCCTAGCTCGATGAGGCCTTCCGGGATGCCAGTCGCATCCTCGTCGTCAATGATCTCAAAAAGCTCGTTAACGGCCCGATCGTAGAACTCCTCGGCCGCAATGCTGTCCTTGGCCGTCCAGTCCGCGAGATTGAACCTGGTACCGTGTTGGTCCTCGGCCTTGTCCAAAAGAAAGGCACCATCCTCGAGTATTTTCATCAGGTACCATTCCA